GCCGGCGTCGGCGCGTCCTTTTATAGCGCGCGGGCTCGGGGCTCTCTGTACTCTTTCGGGTTCCCTCCGGCCGCCCCGGGTCGCCTGCGGTACAGCATCTCCGGCCTCTCGGCGCAAAAGAACCCACCCGACCTCGCCGCCAGCTCGTGGGCATGGCGACCCCTGCCCGGCCCCGGACCCCGCGCACCGAGTCCGCCGTCGCCCGCACTTTCCTGCTCTACTGGGCTCTCGCCCAGGTGGCGGGCGCCGCAGGTGAGTGGCATCCGCCCCGGAAGCCTGGAGCGAGCTGCCGAAGGAAGGAGGGGACAATCCTGGGGGCAGTGGGCTCGCCCTGGTTCACCTGGGCGCCCCGTGGTGCCCCCGGCGCCTGCAGGGCTCGGCCGCCCTAACCCCGCCGGGTTTGAATGAACCTAGGCCGGCCACCAGCCGGAGGGTTGCTGGGGGTAGCTCGCGTCCCAGACTCTGTTGCCCCTCCGGCTAGAAACGTTTCTCCGGGCGTCCTCTGTGGCTAAGCGGATTTTTGCTCCTCGCTTTCACTTGGGGAGGAACTTCAAGGCGACCTGTGACCTTGAAGGTGGTGAGACTTGGGTCCGCATCCGCACAGGTTGTCGAGCAGTGGTTTGGGTTTTATCTTTCCTTATATGCGCATCTTCCCTGGATGAAGAATGGCGTTGGCCTTTTCTGGGTCGTCTTGTTTTGGAATTAGATAGAGACCATCCCCTTGCAAAATGTTACTTGGAGTGGCACAAGTACGACATTGCGCATGCCCAGATGTCTGCTGCATGTTGGCAAAACTGACCTTACTAATGTAAAGCATTTCATCAAATAGGACTGAGCGTGACCCACCACATGGTCTCTTTGGTCTCTGCAGAAGTTTCCGTATCCACACATTTTACATAAATACGGAAAGTTGAGTCTGGCTGTCTTCATTTGTGGGTGGTCCTAACTTCCCACCCATGTGAGATGTGCTCCTGTCCATGAGTCATGGACAACCCTTCCTAGCCCACCTTCCCTGGGGAGTTGCACCTCGGTTGCCCACCTCCCAAGCTGGATCTTAGACACTTGGGACATGGACGCCTTCTGGGGTGGGCTTCCAGGCTAGGTTATAACTTCCAGCCAGGATTTTAAGATCCTTGCCTGCTTCCATGGACTACAGGCTAGACCTTGCCATTAAGGCATTCTGAGTCTAGAAAAAAATTCTGAGGATTTTTTTCTCTTGACAATTTAGTAGTGACACTTTTGAGATTGGAAACAAAAACGCACAGTTGATGGTGAGAGCATGGGAAGGTGTTTTGTGCTGTCCCCACAAGGTCAAGTGCTGAGAAATGCATGCAATAATCGCTGTCTCTCCGTTGTTTTAAGGCACTACGGATATAGTGGTAGCAGATAATTTAACTTGGAAGTCAATTAATTTCAAGACAATTTTGGAGTGGGAACCCAAACCTATCAATAATGTCTACACTGTTCAGATAAGGTAAGCTATATATTTTTTTTTTAAAGGAAATTAAGGTTGTTGATGTTTCTACTTTCCTGTGCTGGATACAAATGTCTTTTCAACTCATTACTGGATAAGATTATTTAACAGTTGACAAAGAACAGGGTATTTAAGGCAATCTGCTGGCCAGTGGCCTGCTTTATCAAACCTGCAACATCTCCAGACCTTAAACTGATAGACTGTTTTGATCCTTTTCGAAAATGATGGGAAATTCATCAGTGGAATATAAACTAGAGAAGGTGCACCTTCTTGAGCCGGCGCTGGCAGTGTGCTTCTGGATCAACGTAGCTAATCTCATCTCAGAACGGATGTTTTATCCCCGCGCTGTCTAGACTGTGAGCTGTACCTAACACATTAGGGAAGAGGCAGGGAGAAATTCCAAGGTATACCTTGCCCTGAAGGGTGTTTGATTCATTAACCTATGAATAAAAGCTCAGTTGCATATCTAGTCTCGGAAAAGGCCAAAGTGTGACTCACGGAGCCACGCAGAAACACTGCTTCTGCTGCTCACCTGGGACTGCGCGGCCCAGGCCTACTTCACCTCTGGTTGACAGCTCCCTCCAGGCCGGCTTCACCTCTGGTTGACCACTCCCTCCATTCGGCACACTCACTCCAGATGGCGAAGGTGTGCCCGACGTCTTCCTAGACAGTTTTCACTATGTTCTTGGCAAGTTTTGGGTTTCTCAAATGTTCTAGGATGCTTGGTAAAGATCCTTAAAATAGAGAGCAGCTGCTGTGTAAATTATTCTAGTGCTAAGTGTATAAACGCGTACAGGTATCAGCTAAAATAAGAGGTGTTTTGCTTTTTCATTTTGTTCTATTTTGTGTCCAGCCTTTAATGGCATGAAGACTGCAATTCCTAGTTGGGCCAGCCAGTGGCGTGGTGGTGAGGGCAGTTGACTCCCACATGGCTCACCCAGATGCTTGAAAACGTGCCTTGTCTGTGTGTGTTCGGGCCCAAAGTCTGAGAGGAGATCAAAGGAGAATGGAAATCACTCACCCTGGGTGGTGATTCCTCATTTTCTCTTTCTCCGTCTCTCTTTGGCCAGTGCATGCACTATATAGCAAATTATATATATATATATATATATATATATATATATAGAGAGAGAGAGAGAGAGAGAGAGAGAGAGAGAGAAAGAGAGAGAGAACTCCTAGGTATAGGGGAGTCTTTTAAGTGGACGTTCTTGTTTTCAAAAATGAACTTCATGATGACTGTTGCCAAACAACAGGGAAGAGAATATGTGTGTGTACATGTATGTGTGTACATATATGTATGTGTGGGGGGGATCTTCAAAAAGTTAGTTAGTGGAAAATATCTACTATGATAAAACTATGCATGGATTTTCCTCCTCTTTTTGCACCAAAATAAACATGTACTTTATTTCCATTTTTTTCCATGAACTCTTTGAAGTCTCATGAAGAGAGAGACAGACAGGGAATTTCATAATCTGAGACAACAAGTACAATTAATTATGGTGAAACTTGTCAATTCAGATTCCACTGATAGAGAATTAGTCAGTATTGCTTTTGTACAGAGCATACATACTTTCCTTCAGGAGAGTGGAAATTAGGTTTAGGGAGGAACACTTACCTCCTGAATGTCCAGTCTGATATTAGAGGAAGATGTGGAAGTATATTGATGGTTGACATGATTTTTAACCGTAAGTTTTTGTGAACTTCTAAGTCCTTGGCCTTTGTAAGGCTTTGGTCATTTAAACAAGTACGATCCCAGATTCACGAACATCGGGCACAGCATCGTGGGGCTGCCCGAGTCTCCTTTTGCAGCTGTGCTGGAGGGCCACGGTTCCATCAGTCTCCACCCAGACCACGCTACTCTGCAGCCTCCCCAGGGTACGGCTGCCTGGGTCCAGAACCAGCACGCGCATTACCTAGATGAGGAAACTGTTGCTCTGGGAAGGAAGGGATTGCCTCATGACTGTGCCCATGGCAAGTGCTTGCAGAATGTCTGCACCCAGGGTCTCCCCAGTGGTGCACACCAGGGGGCTCTGCCGCAGCCTGACAGCCCTGCCCTCCTGGTTTTTCCTCCCTGGAGGAAGCCTCCCAACCTGCCACCCCTCCCTCTGCCCGCTACCCTCACTCCTCAGGCCTGGCGCCAGCCACAGGGCACCTCTGCTGCCCAGAGGCCCCTCCTGGGAGCGCCAGCTACATTTTCCCCTTTGGAAACGGTTTTAAGTGGTGGCTGGGAAGAATCAGTGACAGGAGTCTTAGCTCCAAACCACCTGGAATATGATTCCAAGGGATTGTTCTGGATTCTAAAGCGGAATCTACAAAGCTTAGAGGAAATATCCTACAACTAAATTAGTGACAGTCTGTATTCTGCTGGAATCTTTCAGTAATTCAGACTGGACTTTTATGGTTACCAAGTCAAAGACTTAACTTTACAGTGTGCCCAGGTAAATCTTGAAGGCTTTTAAAGTGTTAATGCTGCTCATGGCATTCAGAGGAACTTATTACAGAACTGACCCTTCATCACCTTGCGGTGCGTTGGTCCCTGTTTGTGATCTGGGAGGAACCAGGACTGTCTTTCAGATGGTGGGTAGCCGCAAAGCCCAGAGAGATTTCTCCTCTTACCTGAAAGACTTGTCTGCAATACAGTTGGAGAGGAAGCATCATGTTCTCCTTAGCTTTTTGACTGAAAGTGATATAATAAAAATGCATTTGGGTCATTCAGGACCAAAACAGCCTTTATACTTTAATCACAGAAAATTAAAGAACTATAAGGAACTAAAATATTTAAATATCGATCCATATTTGTGAAGTTCAGGATAAAGCATTTGTTTACCCAAATCCTTTTGGCCTAGTGACTTAGTTCAGATTTGTAATGAATATGTGTGTGCCTTTCTGTGTAGATTTAGACAGTGGAATCCATCCGCTAAATTAACTCAACCTGTAAATGCAAGCTTTCTAATAGTCAGCAAGCCCCTGAACCCTGCTGCTTAGCAGGGGACGAGAGCATGGATCCCTGGTGCAGAGCAGACCATGTTCCTGTTAAGTGTGTTAATGAAGAGAGGTGTGCCGGGATTAGGGAAGGGAGCGAGGAGATCTGGAGGTTCCCAGAGAAGGTGGGATTGGTGCCTGGCCTTGAATAACGGTCTAGGCTCTGGCAGTTGATGATGCTGAAGGAAAGCGCAGTGTAACGATCACTTTCCGTGGGATAGAACTATGTGGGTTAAGTTGCAGTGGCCCTCAATCTACGGATTGTTTTGATCCTTTAGAAGAATCCCAATTTCTCTAGAAGTTCTTGAAATCATTTCCTCTTCCGTGATTGGTCTTCTGTAATCTTTGATGAGATGCAGTCACTTCTTACAGAAGTGAACAGGGCCATGTAGTGGAACGAGGCAAACAGTCCCAGCTCTGTCACTCTTTAGCCAGGTGACCTTGTACAAGTTACTTAGTGTCTCAGAACTTCATGTCCTCATGTGTCAAATAAAACAACCTCGTACCTTCCAAGAAGGTATTGGGTCATCAGAAAAGTCATGATGCATTTTTGCATAGAAAAACAGAAAAGTATGTCATGACTTTTCTGACGACCCAATATATAATATATCATCTTGGAAGGATGATAGCAATGAAGTAACATGGACCTGGCATATAGCAGAGTCGATAAAGGACTAATGTCCACACTAATAGTGGTCACGATAGAGCATAACATACAGAGAATATGTAACTCTGCGGACTTCCTTATAGTGCTGTGCAGCCCACAGAGAATACACGATGTGATGTAATGGACGAAGAAATAAGTAGACTGGAATAGACGGTTGAGTCTTGATGGAAAACTGCTCTTACACTCCCGTACTCTTTGCAAAGGGCCTGCACTTTAAGGAGGATCTTTAACAAAATGGTCACGAGCATGGACCCAGGCAGCTGTCCAGTGGTTCCAAGTCCAGCATTGTGACTTAGAGCCAGTCTCCCCGCCTCACTCTGTCCCTGTTGCCTTGTCTGTAAAACCTGCACAATTATGGAGGCATCCCAGGGTGGCTGTGAAGACCCAGACATGCCTCAGTGACCAGCAGTGCGGAGGCCTCCTCAGGGCCGCTCGGGATCTCATCATTAGCACAGAGCAGCACGAGCAGAAAGGGTGGCCTCTTGCAGGGTGCAAATCGTCATGTTCGGTGTCTTTTTCTACCTCTCTTCCTTCCTGTAGCTCCAGATTGGGAAACTGGAAGAACAAATGCTTCTACACCACGGACACGGAGTGTGACCTCACTGACGAGGTTGTGAAGGACGTGAAGCAGACGTACTTGGCTCGGGTGCTTTCCTTCCCAGCCCGGAATGCAAATACCACAATTTCTGATGAGGAAGCTCCCTTTAAAAACGCCCCAGAGTTCACGCCTTACCTGGAGAGTAAGTAGCTTACTCGTGTCCTGTCGTTAGAAACTTCTGGATGTTCTTGTGACTTTGTGACCTTTAGGGGCCGTTGGATCAGCAGTATTTATCCAAACACACCTTCTTTCTTAGAAAGTGGTAGTCTCCCCGCCCTCCTCACTCATCCCAGATGTGATAGGAGGTCACGGAGTGGGAACTTCGGAGCTGATAACAGTGTCATCAGGGACCGTCTCCACTAATCTGTCCCCAAGGCTCTACAGGAGCCAGCTGAGTTGAGGGGAGGAAAAGAAGGATTTGGTAGGAAACCCACCAAGGCTGGTGTTTCCGCCTTCTCCCATACATACTGTACGGCCTAAATTTTCTGTCCCTTACCACACCAGAAACCCCAGTTCAGGAATTTTCACTGACGGCCATACCTCCAGGGACAGTCTTCAGTTTCCCTCAGCACTGTGGTTAGTCTTGCTGACCTTTTCCTTTTTTAAGAATTATTTTATTTAACTCTATTTATTTACTTATTTTAATTTGGCTAGAGAGGGACAGAGACAGAGAAAAAGCAAGCCGCCAGGTCCAGGACTCAAGCCTCAGTCGGCCATGTGGGAATCTAGTGCCTTTAACCACCATGCCACCTGCTGGCCCTTGCTGACCTTTTGCAATCAGCTCACTTTGATCTGAGCCCTGTGAGGTCCAGCACCTGCCCAGCTCTGGCCTGCCCCCTTTGTGTTGGCCCCAAAAACATGGAACGCTCTCCTCCCTGGCCTTTGGCCCAGTGTGCTGACATAAAGGAATGCAGAGAATTCCTGCCGACTAGGAGATTCACATTTTTTTTTTTTTGTCACAACTGTGGTTCTGAACTAGTTGTTTGAGATAAACACATGGAGACGTTAAGAAGAGCAAAATTAGCTTCTCTTGTGAGCCTTGAGTCTTGATGAAAAACTGCTCTTATGCTCCCGTACTCATTGCAAAGGGTCTGCATTTTAAGGAGGATCTTTAACAAAATGGTTATGAGCATGGACCCAGGCATGGGTTAGAATGAAAGTGTCGGGACCAGCAGTTGTCGTAATAGCTATGTCGCTGGACTCCCATGTAGTAGACCATGGTTCAAGTCCCAGATCTGGTGGCTTAAACTCACGCTGGGCGAGTGTACATGCATGCCCAAGATCCTGAGAGGAGAATGGAGGAGAAGGCATGGCGGTGTGGCCATCCCCCCTGGGAGGTGATTTCTCACTTTCAGTCTTTCTGTCTTTGTCTGTCTGGTGAGCGCATGTGCCCTATAACAAAAACATCTAAAAAAAAAAAAAAGAATGAAAGTGTCTTGTTACTGGTGTTTCCTCTTTACTCCTCTGCCTGCCGGTGGGAGAGCAGTTTCTCCAGGTAGGTAGGGATGGTGACTCTTTCCAGAGTCCCATTTGCAAGACCCTCCCCACTCATCTAGTGCTCCTACCTGTGTGTCTGTCACTGCGCTGAGCTAGACCGTATATACCAAAGGGACTTCAAACGTTCATTGGAAAATGCAGTTAAAGTACAGGTTTATTCTGCTGCAAAAAATGTTTTTGAGGTCCATGTATTGTTTTTCCATAATACCCATTTTCCATGAGCTTTCTGAAGACTGCTCTTATATCCAGTCACCTCCAGTAGCTGTGTAGGATCACTGATACCATTCTCCTCTGAGGTAATGACATCTTCATGACTTCTTTTTATAGTTCTTGAGTTTTTGTTTCTGGTTTTATTTTTTATTTTTCTGGAAGCCATTCCACTTTGTTAGTGCAAAATAGAAAGCATGTATTTGGTTTGCATACATACACACATACACACATCCTTTTCCCTTGGCTTGCATAGAATTGGGGCTGAATGACTGAGACTTGTTTGACCGTCATTCAACCCAAGCACACAAGACCACTGACCCTTTGCAGACCCACTGGTTAAAACTGGTTCCTTGAGATACCAAAGCTTTGCCACAGCTCCTAATTTTTCATGCTTAAAATGGGGAATCTTGTACTACTGCACTGTTCAATACTGTAGCCCTTAAGCACATGTGGTTTCTGAGGCCTGAAATACAGCCGATGCTGTAAGTGTAAAATACACACTGGGTTTCGAAAGAAAACTGTACAATACCTTGGCTCTGCCACTGTGGCACTGCAGTAACTCAGATACCCTGCCAGGCTGGCAGCCATATGAACGACCGTGGCTTTGGATTCCTGGGTCATCTCAAAACTTGCTGAGTGGTTGTGGGTCCCCAGGATCCTGAGGCTGGGGAAAGGGGGTCACGTGACGAGACCTTGTCAAGGGCGTTTCTCTTTTGTGTGCGTGTGCACACATGCACTCTTTACATCAATTTTTAAAAAAATCTAAACTACCTCAAAAACTTTTTATATAGATAAATGTTAAAAATGATAATATTCTAGGAGCCAGCAGGTGGCATAGAGGTTGAGGCACTGGATCCCACATGGCCAGCTCTGCAGTTTGAATCCTAGACCCAGCATGTGTGCGTGCGTACCCAAAATTCCCGAGAGGAGAATGGAGGAGAAGGGATTGAGGCATGGCCATTGCCCTTTGGGGGGGGGCTGATTTTTTACTTTCTCTGTCTACTTCTGGAGAGCATATGTACCCTACAGCAAAAACCAAAAAAAAATAAATTTAAAGATACTATTCTAAATATATTGGGGTAAGTAAAAATATATTATTAAAGTTGATTTCACACATTCATCTTGGCACAGTCTCACGTGACTATAAGGAAATTTGAAATGGCATCTATGGCTCCCATTGTATTCCCATGGGGCCGCACCGTAGTGCAATGTCTTAGCGTCAGGAGTCCGCTACCCGGCAACTGCACCAGGGAGCTGGTTCTGTGCAGGGGTTCTATATGAGAAATGACTAAGTTATTAACTGCTAGCGAAATGGAATTTACTCTGTATAGGATTATTTGGTTCCAACTAAGCTCATTTCCTGTCTTCCAGCAACACTTGGCCAGCCAACAATTCAGAGTTTTGAACAAGCTGGGACAAAACTGAATGTGACAGTGCAAGATGCGCGCACCTTGGTCAGAGTGAACGACACATTCCTGAGCCTCCGAGATGTTTTTGGCAAGGACTTGATTTACACTCTTCATTATTGGAAAGCTTCAAGTACAGGAAAGGTAAGAATTGCTTCATTTGTTTTTATGACTTGTTTAAAATTGCGGCTCTTTAATTTTATAGACCACTTCCCAGTTCAAAAATAGCAGAGCTGGAGTTGTTGAAAGGGCAGTGTGGTGGAGTGAGAGGGTAGCTGCTAGGGGGATTGGACCGCAGGGCCTGCCTGGTTCCACCTGTGATTCTGAGCTGCCGTGGGGACCCCGGTTTCATAGTGAAGGGGCTGGACTGGATTGTCTCTGGGGTCCCATGAGTGCTCATATTCTTCCTATCCTGATGAGCCCAGAGACGAAATTTGTCTTCTATTAACACGTATTTACTTCTTCTTTTTCTTTTTACCACAGATTTCTTCTAAAAGGGGTTAATTGGGTTGGATATACCTAAATTTAATCTTTTGAGTCTCAGAAAAGACATCCTGGGAACCAGCAGTTAGTGTAATGGCTACGTCACTGGACTCCCACATAGTCGACCGCAGTTCGCGTCCCGGACGCGGTGGCTTAAAACTCATGCCGGGCGCGTGTACGTGCGTGCCCAAGAACCCGAGAGGAGAAGGGATTGTGGCGTGACCATCTCCCCTGGGGGGTGATTTCTTGCTTTCTGTCTCTCTGTCTCTCTCTGTCTGTTTGGCGACCGCACGCTCCCTATAGCAAAAACCTCTCCCCCCCACCAAAAAAAAAAAAAAACATCCTTAGCCATTATCAGGGGGAACTGGTTAGCCAAGTCACTTCTGATCCTTTATGTGTCAGCTGTGTCCATGGAGGCTTCGGTGAGCCTAGGTTTTTACTTCCACAACGACTTAATAAAGGGGGAAGACCTCACTCTGAGCCCAGGTGAATTAAGGGCTCCTTATCTTTTCACAGAAAACAGCCAAGACAGACACAAACGAGTTTCTGATTGATGTGGATAAAGGACAAAACTACTGCTTCAGCGTTCAGGCGGTGATCCCGTCCCGCAAAACTAACCGCAGGAGTCCGGAAAGCCTCATTGAGTGCACCAGCCAGGAGCCAGGTGTGGCCAGAGGTGAGTGGCTCTGCCTGTCATTGGTCGGAGAGGCCTGGGTGGCTTCCAGAGACTCACCACGCTCAGAACCAGGATATGCTTTTGCTAAATATTCAAGAAGAAACTGCCTTGGGCTTTTGGTTTTGCTTGGCACTGTTAAGATTGCAGGCACTGGGCCAGCAGATGGCACAGCAGTTACATCACTGAACTCCCACATGGCCAACCATGGTTCAAGTCCCAGACCTAGTGGCTAGAAAGTCATACTGAGTGTGTGTGTGTGTACATGCATGCATGCCCAGTATCCTGGGAGGAGCATGAAGGAGAAGGGATTGTGGCATGGCAATCCTTCCGGGGGTGGGGGGGAGTGAGATTTCTCACTTACCCTTGCACTTGCACTGTGTCTCTGTCTCACTCTCTCTCTGACAAGCACATGTACCCTAAGACAAAAACCTCTTTTAAAAAGAGGGAAAAAAGGATTGCAGGTGTTTAGAAATGCTTCTGTGCTGTTCCTGTGGATTAGCAAGTGCTGCCTTGAGCAGTGCCAAGGTCTCTGTTGAGCTCTGCGTACACGCATTGTGTTTGGGACTTAGCATCAGCCACAGGTTTCTCTGGGCACTTTTTCATGCTCAAATTCCGATCCTGGGGAGTGGCTTCTGGGCCAACCACAGCATAGCCAATAGACAGTTGTGAGTACCCACTGTTATTATGTGGCTGTTGCTATGAAGTCTAGCTCTACAAGGGAAGGGACTGAGTATACCAAATATGCCCATGTGCCTGTGTGTACATATGGCCAACACGGGTGTGTTCACACATGCACACACACAGGGAGCTCTGACACACTGTGAGGAATGGCTCCTAACTAGGAGTGCTGCATGTGTTCAGAAACACAGGAGGCTGGGGACCAGCAGTTGGCATAATGGCTATGTCGCTGGGAGCCTGTGTAGTCCACTGCAGTTCGAGTCCCAAACCTGGTGGCTTAAACTCACACCAGGCATGTGTGCGTGTGTGCCCAGGATCCAAGAGGAGAATGGAGGAGAAGGGATTGCGGCATGGCCATCCCCCCAAGGGGTGATTTCTCACTTTCTTTCTGTCTCTGTCTGTCTGACGAGCGCATGCACCCTATAGCAAAAACCTTTCCAAAAAAAAAAAAAAAAAATGGATGAGGCTGAAAGCCTGTCTTTGTCCCCAAGCTTCACAGGGAATGTGTCGGAGTTCTTTTAGGGAATGAAAGAGTCACAGGGTAGTAAGGGTGACCAGGTTCCTTGGTAAGAAGAGATTTAAATTTTTAAAAACAACTTTTAAGTAAACTACTCCCGCCTATTTATTTCCATTGAAAGAAGGAGAGGACTGTCTTTCCTCAACCCTCTGGGCGATCTTGCCCACGGCCTTCATATTCATCACCCAAAAGCTCAGCTCTCACTGCCTCTGCCTCGGTGCTCACCCAGATCTCTGTTTCCCCTGCTGATTCTCTGCTGCAATGTGTCCTTCAAGAGGCATTTCAAATGCTACTTCCACCAGAAAGCCTTCTTATTGCACCAGCTGGTTATCATCTCTCCTCCACCGAGTCCTGGTAGCACCTCAGTCCTCCCCTTTGCACTCACTGTTCACCTTCTGTAATCATTGCCAGCAGCTCAGCTGCATTTTTAGCCACTTGTTTGCAGTCGCTGTTTTCTCTTCCAATGACGTGATCCTCTCTAGACGTGACTGTTAGTTTATTGTATTACATGGCCCATTCAATACTGTTGGCCATTGCCAGTTGCTCTAAACTGTCTAGGGTTTGACAGATTCTTTCCTAATCTAAGTATGGTGGAAAGCGTGGAAACAGAAATTTCACACTGCGCAGAAAGAAATTTCACACTGCGCAGAAGCAGCCCGGTGTGCTGTTGGTCTCGTCCTCGGTCCTGCCTGGTGATGAATGGGATTCAGGCTCTCCCAGGTGACGCGGCACTTTCTGTTTTTCAGAAATGTTCTTCATCATCGGAGCTGTGGTGTTCGTGGTCATCATCTTCATCATCGTCCTGTCGCTGTCTCTGTACAAGTGCAGAAAAGCGAGAGCAGGGCAAAGTGGGAAGGAGAACTCCCCGCTGAATGTTACATAGAGGAAGCACCAGTGGGTCTGCTCGCTGTGCACAGGCCGCGTTGCACTGTGGCCGAGAACTTGGAAGGGAGTCGAACACGTGAACACAGATGAGCACTTTAGAGCATGCAGATCCTTGGGTTCAAAACACTCTTAAATGGGTTAAGTACCCTCTTGCTTTGACCTGTCACTACAACTAGCCTTCTGATGTTGACATTAGCATTAGTGACTTGGAAATGTCATGAGCGGTACAACCAATGACAAGATTTTTACATCGTTCCTTTAATACTATGGCACCTTTTGCACATACTCAACTTCTCCTTGAGGTCACCCGAGCAGAAGCCAACGAATGAATACTTTAGAAAATCCTGGATGGACCTTGGAGAACTTTCGAGAGCCTGTCTACACCACATAGGAGGGTAAAATGCAAGTGGGTGGACCTTTCTAGGACTTTGCCAACAAGTGTCCTGCTTTTGTACTGGGGCGTTCAGGTTCTGTCTCTGTAGCTGGGGGTTTTGTTTGTTTGTTTTTAGGAGTGCTTTTGGAGGTTCAGAATGGTTGGCAAACTTTTATATTAATGTATCAAATGCAAGAAAGCATTCTGTTCTGTTTGGGGCACTTTCCTATATGCGTCGCAGTGTCGCACTTTAACTGACGTAAGTGCTGTCAGGGTAGACATCTGACAGCCCTCGGCGCTTTTATAAGACTACTATAGAGACTACATAGAGTTTATGACTGACGGTACTTACAGCTTCTGTGGTCAACACTGTATATATTTTATAATTTTTTAAAGGTTATGTATATTGGGGATTTTCTATTTATATAGGTAATATTGTTCTGTTTGTATATATTGAGATAATTTATTTAATATACTTTTATATAAATAAAGGTGACTGGGCATCACGGCTACTGGGTGTGTTATATTTTCCACTTATTCAGGATTTGTCTTTCATTAGCCCAGGCTGCTGCAGTAACAAGTGACCCTAAAGGCCTCAGTGGCTTATAACAGCATGTCTTTCTTTTTTATTTCTATTACATTTCAACGACTATAGTTTGGCTGCAGCTCTGCCTAGTATCTTCTGATTCTAGGACCCAAAGCAAAGGAGAGTCCCTGCTTGGGTCAGAGGAGAGAGGAACAGAAAATACTGGTAGAAATAGCCACAGCTTAAAGCTTCAGCCACCTCTTACAACTTCTGCTCCGTGGGCCAGCCAGTGGCGTGGTGGTGAAGGCAGTGGGTCCCGCACAGCCGACTGCACAGTTCTACATCCAGACTGGAGGCTTGAGAACATACCGGGCATGTGTATACATAGGTCCCAAATCCCCAAAGGGATGGGGGTAGGCAGTTTTCTCACTTTCCCACTCTCTGTCTCTTTCTGGTGAGCGTGCATATCTTCTAGGGGGAAAAAAATCTCCAAGCAGGTTAATGGACTCACACACCAGTGCCTCAGGCAAATCATGTGACCAAAACTGACACTATTCTGCCTCGTGGGAGTCACAAGTCACATGGGAACGGGCAGAGATAGAGTCTGACAGGAAAGGGAGAAATAATACAATCTACTGCAGATTTAAAGATATTTCTCCTCAGGCCAGCCCCATGGCCTGGTGTTAAGGGAGCCATTTAAATCCCACATGGGCATCCCACAAGGCCAACCAGGCTTCAACTCCTGATCTTGGCAGCCTGAAAAACACACCAGGCACACGTGTGTACGTGCCCCAAATCCTATCAGGATGGAGAAATGGAGGAGAAGGGATTGCCATGTGACCATACTCCATGGGGTGCTGCTTTCTCCCTCACTCTGTCTCCATTTCTCTCTGCAAGTGCAGGTGCCCTCCAGTAATTAAAAATATAATTCTTTTGGGACCAGCAGTTGGCATAATGGCCATGTCACTGGACTCCCATGTAGTCGACCACAGTTTGAGTCCCAAACCTGGTGGCTTAAACTCATGCCGGGCGTGTGTGCGTGCGTGCCCAAGATCCTGAGAGGAGAATGGAGGAGAAGGGATTGCGGCGTGACCATCCCCCCTGGGGGGTGATTTCTCGCTTTCTGTCTCTCTCTCTCCATCTTTCTGGTGAGTGCATGTGCCCTATAGCAAAAACCTCTAAAAAAAAAGATTAAAAAAAATATATAATCCTTTCTCATGGGCATTAGTTTAAGCTGCCAGTTGGAAAGGAGGAAAGAAAGAACAATTGTTTGAATCACTGTATTCAAAGAAAAGTAGGTAAAATGACAATATCAGGCCTGTGGGTGGCATGATAGTTACGGCAGCTGGATTCCACCTGTCTGCACAATTCGAGTCCCAACACAACGGCTAGGAAAACACACTGGGTATGTGTGCGTGCACACCTAAAATGCTGACAGAGAATGGAGGGGAAGGAATGGCAGCATGGCCATCCCCCTGGAGTGATTTCTTACCTTCCCTGTCTCTCTTTGTCTCTCTCAGGTGAGCACATGCTCCCTATAGCAAATTTTTTAAATATTAAAATAAAATGGCGGTACCAGGGAGAGAGAGAATTGAAATGAGGTCTAGTTCTGATGAAGAAAACTCGATCGGGAGCTCACCGCAGCAGGGACAGGGTGTGTCTCAGGGCCCGGAGCTCCTTTCAGCTGACTGCACAGTGGACTTGGTCACGGTGGGGCTGAGTCAAACTTCCGACCTCTAGAACATGGGAATAGTGAGTCCTCCATTCAAATGCAGCAGGAGAGTCTTGTTCTACTGATCAAGAGAGGAGTCTAGGGGCTAGTGGGTAGCGTAGTGGTTAAGGTGTTGGACTTCCATGTGGCTGACTGTGGTTTGAGACCCAGACTGGTGGCTCAAAAATCACTCCAGGCATGTGTGCATGGGTGCCCAAAATCCCAAGAGGAGAATGAAGATTTCTCACTTTCTGTCTCTGTCTCTCTGACAAGCACACACACTCCACAGCAAAAATCCCTCTAATGTAAAAGGATTCTAATTAGAGATGGAAGTGAGGATCTTGGCACCTAGCTGGCCACAAAATGCTTGGCTTCCTGCTGTGGCAAGCTGGGCTGTTTCTAGGAAAGCATCCAGATGGCTCACTCCCCTGGGAGCGGGCCCACGGAGACATCGGAGACATCGAGCATTACTAGGAGCGAAGACGCGCTTGCAGTCCAGCTGTTCATAAACCTTAAACCCACTTTGCTCCGTGGTACCAAAGAACTCTAGGCATGGTCAATAGAACTCCACTCGTGCAATGTGCGCCCTGGCATCCTAACAAAGAAAGTGAAACCAGGTCCCTGTAAATATGACGGCATGCAAGGAGAAAAAAAAAAGGAATCATTTTGGAGAAATTGAGAGGAAAGGTCGCACTTCGCTTGTTTACCACCGTCCATCTGAGCTGGCGCCAGGAAGGCCGGCTCTCGCACCACCAGGGTTCTGCTGTGCTGGAGACAGAGGGGACGTGTTTGCAGCAGCCAAACAGAGGTTGCATGCGGGCCTGTCTTCACAGCGGGGTGCCTTGGCCATTATCTTGAAACCCCGCTCACGCTGGGGTACCTGGCACCAAGAGCTCAGCGTGCTGCATGAGCGGGCAGGACAACCACAGAAACGGAGCCTGACCTGGCGTTTCCTGCCAGGAATAATTACAGCATTATGTAATTCCACGGCTCATAATCTATGGAATTTGAATGATCCCACTAAAGAAAGTACTGGCAGATTGAAAGCAGGTCTGGGTACGAATGAGGCATCTGGCTGCTCACAGGGAAGCAACTCATTACCGACCTAAATGACCTGCGCACTGGGGGGGAGCGCAGCACTGCAAATGCTAACACTGCGCTGCAGCCGGCAGCCTTCTGGTTGAGACCCAGCAGATGCTGCTGAAATCAAGGCTGCATTCAGCAGAGCAGAGAGCCCCGCTACCCGCCCTCCGCTGACTAAGTTAGACTGCACTCCTTGGCCCTTAATGCACCCCTGAAAGCTAAATTTTCATGCTTTAACAAAATGTCTTTACCATTTTCAATCATTGACTAAATTTGGTTGCATATTTAAAAAATGAGAAATTTTAAGACATTCTGTTTAGTTACAGCTGATGGCCTGTAATCTAAATACATGCCTCTTAGAAAAACAAAGAAATAGGGACCAGCAGTTGGCGTAATGGCTATGTCACTGGACTCCCATGTAGTTGACCGCAGTTCAAGTCCCAGACCCACTGACTTAAACTCCCTACGGGCACGTGTGCGTGCATGTCCAAGATCCCGAGAGGAGAATGGAGGAGAAGGGATTGCTGTGTGACCATCCCACCTGGGGGGGTGATTTCTCGCTTTCTATCTCTCTGTCTCTCTCTGTCTTTCTGGCAAATGCATGCGCCCTATAGCAAAAACCTCTCAAAAGAAAAGAAAAAAAAGAAAGAAAAACAAAGAAATAATGATCTCTATCCATTGAATAATAAATGAACACCCTCACAAACCTCCTCTTACTTCTTCTACGACATTCGTATTTAACATGAGTTCTTTCCCTCCCATGGTGGCCGAGAAGGGTGTGCTGCTCTAAGATGACCTCGCGTACTCAGAGGCCCATAGTGGACGCTAGCTCTCCTTCCTGCAGCCCTCACTGTCTGGATGGAGCTCCTGATGATTCTGGCTTTGCCCATCGGCACATCCTTTCTTCAGCTGCAGAAACGGGCTTAGGGTTAGACAGGTGACGTAAACAAGCCTGAGTCTCAGGGCCCTTTTACTTGAAGAGCACAGTGAAGACGCATGCACTCCCAAGAGCTGGAGACCATCCTCTCAGCCTCCAAGGGAGCCAGCTTTAAATGGAACTGACAGCAGGGCAGCGCGATGGAATAAGCTAAGTCCACGGAGACATCACCAAGCTGCTAGGTCCGGCCTGGCCAGACGTCCCCAGCCATGGACTCTTCACTGGGCATAATCTGAGGAACTATCTAAGCGAGCTGGAGTCAAGATTCCATGGTGCCTGCAGTCCAAAGCACCTAACTGATGCTGTGCGCTTAAGCATTGACCATGGCGTATGAAGAGAAAGGAAGAAGGTGGCTATAGCATATAGTGCAAATAACGTCCATTTTCACACATTCTCAACGACGCAACAGCGGCTCTCCTAGCTTTCCCTGGATTGTCTTCTCCTGGCACTATAAAGTTCTCCCTTATTATTTCTTTAAGAATACAAACATACGAT